TAAGGTCTTGAATAAATGACCACAAATAAGCTCAATTTGCAAAGAAAACAACATCAAAATCGGTAGTGATCAGGGTTCAAGATTGACATGAATAAGCATGAAAGTCACATCCCTTCTGCAAACAACATTGACTTGCCGGATTTAGCAGTGTCAATATGGACCCTCCCTCTTGCTTTATCTTTTAACGTGGTAATAGGAACCCCCCATTGAGTTGCAGCCTGTTGGACAGAGGCATCTTCTTCAAATACCACAACGTATGTGTTATGTAAATCTTCCCGTGAGTATCTAACTCTGTATGAACCTCAAGCCGATGATGGAGGCTGCAAATAAAAAATACCACTACAACCACTATTTACTCTATTTAATTTATTAACAATGTTATTTATGCATTATCAAGTTAACCATCCTTCAATTAAACATTCGTCTTAATGAAATTGGCAATAAGTAGTGGCCTTTTCAATCTTCCATAGTTATGTTAGCGGCGAGCGTGTGACATCATTAAAGATACAATTTATTTCATCACTAGATTCAATAGTGTGAGTTGTTGTGCATAGGGAACACGTTATTCTCAGTGACTAGATTTTGCTATTACAATGCACAGTCAAAACGTAACAGGGAAAAAAACTTTGACAAATGAAATATGGATTTATCTACAAATACATTGTACAGTACAACAGTACAGTACAACAGCTGCAAATTCCAAGTCTTATCAAGCACTTCGAATTCTTGCAAACTATCTCGGCTGTCTGGTTCTATTCAGTTCGTGGTTTGAAAGCCTTAACAGCTTGTATAATCCTCTACAAAAGAAGTGTCATATATATTAAATGTATTATGGCACAAGCTGTGCACTAAGTTGGCTATCAGGAGAACAAAAATACTTCTTGCACATCACGTGAATTTCACTTTATGTTAGAATGCAATGAGTTAAACGAATTACGAAACAAATATCTCCCTCCATATTATTGAAAACCCTACTGTGGATAAATATATTTCACTTATGTCTATCACATACAAACCAATACTTGTTAAACTTGCTCTTTTTGTGAAATGGGGCTTGCGTAATATGTATTTGTTTCATTGTTTTGCACATGTATTTGTTTTACTCTATGTCATGTATATGACTCATGAGAATAAACTTTGAATTGAATTGGTGACAACCTGTGTCAAGATGTTAATTGTTACCAGAGAAATATGCACACTAACGCTTAGTCTCTGAGTCTGAATACATATAATTTGGATAGTAACAAATAAATCCATTTAAAAATTAAAAAGGAGCCCCCAGGAGACCAGAGATTCAGATCTGAGGAAATCTAGACTTGCTTCATTTAGGGCTTTAGCATAGCAGGGAGGGCTTGGCAGTAGGGGAAATAATATGGTTCAAGGACTGTGAGACAAACTAGGAAAATATGGTGTGCCATGTGTAATCTGATAACTTGGCAATAATTACCTCTTCTTAAATGTCTAGATATTATCATCACAAACAAATGTATAGTAATCAGCCTTGACATTAATGGTATACCTATATCCATGTGCTCCCTTGCTTGCAAATCACAATAATGGTGGTAAAATGCACAAGGAAAGGTTGCTACAGTTCTACGAATTTTATAAAGGAGTTTTTGTTTACCATCCATTCATGACAACAGAGATCTTAGGGAGATTGTTATATTCACTTCATTTCATTTCAGATCAATTACTTTCCATCATCATTGATTTCTAGTGATCGTAATGTTTTCCAGTGACAGATACTTTATCACAAATCAAATATTTTTATATGTATTTGTTTTTTATCTATTGAAATACTATCAAGGAAGCTCTCTATATATATTATTCTGTGGAAATAAAGATGGAAAAAAATATGAAGGAAGCTCTAAAATTGAGTTGATGAATTGAAAGCTTTTCATTCATGACTGTTAACGCTGGAGCATCTGGTAGTTTTACTGAAGTCCAGAGGTCAGTGACAGCTGTCATCTGAGGCACATGGTGTAAATCACTGTGCGGGAGCCAGTGTAACTGACATCAGTTGATGCATCATCTGGTATTCAGATTCTGTGAGTATGCCAGCCATGGATTCTGTGTTAGTATCTGTAGCTATGATAAAAAGACTATAGTTACTAAGGAAGCCTGCCTTTAAGAACAAGAAAATATGGGCTATACATACACTCTGAGGACACTACAGTATGTTTGTTCAACAGGGCCATGGATGTCAAATGTGGCAGAAGGTTTGAGCAACACTATATATCAACATGGTCAGTTTATATTTACTGAAACCATGTATGTTGATGAACAATTTATGGGGCTGGTGGATAAACAATAAGATTACCATGGTTACAAGTATTTAGGATATAATTTGCTCATTTCTATGAAGTGCATCAATGCCAAATGAAATCCCTATCATTGTCATCAACATCTGTGAACAATAATAAATCAGAAGAAATAACCAGTCTCTTGACATCTTAAATATAATTATTGCAGCAAATATGTAATTATGACATTTAATTTCTCTGAAATATTATAAACTGACAAGTGATAACCCATTATTTATAAATGGCCCTTCCATTTAGTTTTGAGGGAGACCACTGACACCTACCCTATGCTCCCTTTGTAAGTAGTGTTAGAGTAAGTAGTATCAGCAAGCTTGCACTATGACATAGTTCATGACATCATCACTTACGATTTGTGCTGCAGCCATGACTAAGAATAAATGTGTAACAAGTCTCAATATCTTCATGCTTATGGATGATTACAAAGATAGGCATCACTGTGAGACCACATGGAGAAACATTACCATAACAATTAATCTCCATGGTTACACTACATATTGCTAAATGCTGAATGCTTTCATTCTGACTGAACAAAGTTTGAATGAGGGTAAGCTTTGGTGTATACATGATAACATTTTATATGTGAATCTGAAAGCATTCTGCCAGGAGTCTGGTAAAACAATTCCCAACAGGTCATTTTGTACCCAATTTGAGGCCTACTGTGGATACCTGGGGAGGGTCAGGTAAGAGCGGATAGGGTCCCAGGATAGTAATTTGGACTCATCCCAGCAATACAATCTACAAGTTTATTTAGAATTACATTTAATGATTCAAAGAGACATATCTGTTTGTCTCCTTTTGTTGAACCAGTATTGTTTGGAATGATATTGTTAAGATAATGAGAGATTTGGGGGTCAATCTTAGCCATAGTAACACTTAGTGCAGGATAGCAACACAGCTTCAAATAGCACAGCATACTCCAAATAATCTTTTTCCAAGATTGATTTTCAGGTTGCACGACCCAGTGTTGTTTTAACCCCTGAGCTTTAGAATGATGATGAAAGATATCAACACATATACAATGAACAAAGATTTTACTGGTGGTCAGGGTGGTATTGCATCAGCTCCCTTAGATATCACGCGATCAGGTGAACAGACTTTCATATTGAAGGAGTCAAGATGGCCGACACTGGTGAGGACATGGTTGACTGCTCATTACCGGAACCCCATGGCCATGACAGACTACTTCAGATAAGATGATGAAATCACATACAAGGGGGAATAACAGGGGTGGAAATAACTTTAAAATTGATAGCGTACTCCGGTACAGTGGCACATGTAAAATCACTTGCCCTGATAATTTTTCCACAATACCGACCGTTTTCCTGCTGATCTTTTAAATAAACAACATAATTAACATTGGAAAGTCAACTGGACACCGGTACAGTGTCATATACAAATTTGCTTGCCCGACAGAACAAAACACTGGACTCGGACGTCGGGCAATGGGTTATTTCCACCCCTGAATAATCAATGTGAAAACTCCAAGACTGTTACATCTTAACAGTATTCACATTCATCTATTATACAAAATAATTTGTTCATGATAAAATAAACTTATAGCATATTTATCGAAGAGTAGGTATCTGTCTATGATATAATACTCTTGTACCACTGTGGCTGGTTTAAAAATAGAAACCTTCAAACCTTTAACCTTGACAAAGTGTTCCAACTTTCTATACCACATTTTAAACCCATTTTTAAAATGTATCATCCAAGTACCAGTTCTGTTACATGCTTTGGTGAGGTAATGGCATGTGAATGATGCAATAGTACAGTTTTACCTGCAAATGCTTTTGACAATATTGCCATTTTTGTGTTTGTGAATAGCGAAGGAATGTGCATCCTGTCATTACTTAGTAAAGTGACGTAATAACGTAGTGATTTATTATTCATTATCTTTGAAAGAAAAACACTAATCAGGTAGAAAATGAATGTAAACATCTTGGTAATCCCGTTTTAAAAGACTGACAGAGTTTGGTTTTACGCCGCTTTTAGCAATATTCCAGCAATATCACGGCGGGGAACACCAGAAATGGGCTTCACTCATTGTACCCATGTGGGGATTCGAACCCGGGGATTCGAACCCGGGTCTTCGGCGTGACGAGCCAACGCTTTAACCACTAGACTACCCCACCGCCCCCGTTTTAAAAGAAAAATTATAAGTAATATCATGACCATGAAAAATAACTGCAGAAGTGTGTCCATATGCCAGTGCATCAACACAAAGAAACAACAACATGTTTTGATTTAGTAACAATGTGTGGTGATGCATTCCGATTGTTACGGAACAATCAGCTGATAGACTTGTTCAAGGCCGTTTCCTCATTTCAAAACATCGATGCAGAGGTGCCTTCTGTATGCATGCTGCACGACTTCAACAAATGTTCACGTTGCAAAAAATCGAAATTTACAATATCAAGGTCGCTGCAATATTGTAAACAAATGCCAAATGGGTTAAGTAATGTGAAGAGTATTGAGGTCAAAGATAACTCTGGTCAATCATGCCCAACATACTTCCATCTGGGACAGTACGTGACACACGACATTAAGCCTAGGGTAAACTTGAATGTGTGACACAGTTTTAAGATGAATCTAACAACTCGGATTAACGTGCACTGCGTAAAAGAATGTAGGCCATCATAGTCCCAAACATTGAAACAACAGTACGGGCCTCACCTGTACGCGAGTGTTAAACACTGGAATAGCTTCGTTAGCGACGCGTCGATTGCAAGCGTCCTTGTGCTTCTTGGACCAAAACTATAGGTTTGAGAAGTCTCTTTCGTCGCTTCCATAAAATCGTATCCGACAGAATCACCGGACTTGTCGTCATATTCATCGAATTCGTCAGTAGCGGGATCGTGTACACGGCTTATCATGAAATGCCCACTATGAATGTGGCTCGTCTTTTCGGTTTTCATTCCTTCCGATTTGTTACTCTGAATTTCCAACATTGTTTCCGGTGAATGCGATTTCAAGGGGTCTTCTATGGCCATAACAAATCCAAGACATTGAACTGCCAGTACTTCAGTGCCAAATACTTTTGAGAAAACAATTCAAGAATGTCTATGGTCGACATTACTCTCGTGATCACTCGCTGAGGGTGTGAACGCTAGCCAATCAAAACACAGTATTTCAAGGTTAGGAAAAGATAACTCATGAGTACATGTTTCCATGTCACTTCAGGTTGTAATCATAAACAATCAGTTCAAATCCAAATATACCACCTACGGTATTTAGTTGTTGCAAGACCAAAGTAATGATTTGGGTGGTTTTTCACGTATGATTTTATAGGAATCCTTTCTTGTTATGATGAAATGCCGTTTAACTTTGAGAATAACATACTGTTGCCTATGAAACAAAAACGACAAATTGAATAAAAAAAATCACACCGTGTCTATGCTTTATAATAATCAGATACCATTGACAATTTCGATTATACCCCAAGCATGTGTTTATGAAACATTATCAAGTATATAGGATGCTGTAAATAATACTAACAAAAGTCGTAATCAGTTTCAAAGATGCATATTATTACGTTGTTAAGGAGTTAAATGAAAAGAAATATTGTCACATGGCTTACTCCTTTCGTAGCCAAATGATCAATGAATAAGGGTTAAAGAGAAGTTATATTTCCAAGACCTGCTATGCTTTTAAAGTGAAGAAATAGAAAATCTTATCCTGTCGGAGTGAGTGAATTGGGATTTACGCCACCTTTAGCAATATTCCAGCAATATCACGGCAGGGGGCACCAGAAATGGGCTTCACACATTGTGCCCAATGGGAATCGAACCCCGGTGACGAGCGAACGCCTTAACCACTGGGCTACCCCACCACCTCTTGTCCTGTTGGAAATCGAGACGCTTTGACTATGTTACCAGGGTTACCAGCCATTCAAACACAGACAAATGGGAATACACTAATCGCTAGAATAGCGTTGCTTTATCACCTGATCCGCCATGCAAATTGGCCTCACCCTGACACCTTTATAATTGCTTATTGGTGCTCATTAATGTTAAATGGTAACCGACTATTTAGTAGACAACCTTCAGTTGGCTTAAAAGAGCACAGCCTCTAACGACAAGCATGGGTTATTGAAAGCACATTCTAACCCGGACCTTCACGGGTATTTACGAAAATAGAACCATTTTGGTACCTTTGCTTGGTGTAAGTGAAATAGCACCACTTAGTGTTCTTTTCACAAACAAATCATTGCTACATATCTATCTTATTCATCTGGGGAGACAACGGGTGGAACATTCGGTAAGAACAAATAAATTTGAAAATGCATCAAAAACTAAATTTTGGGTGGAAGATAAAAAAAAATGAAACAATATCGCATAATTTCTGGTATTTCATAAACGTTTATATATGTCAAATTAAATCATACATAAAACATCGAACAGTTTGGAAATTGTTTATCTAAATGCATAGGACATGTGAATAAAAACTGTTTACAACCAGTTTAAGGCTTTCTCTTTGTTTGGTCTCTGTGTCTATCTTAAAGTAGCAATGTCATTTTCACTGATGGAAATAGAAACTGAACTAAAATCATTCCACCCTTAAATTTTATCTAGCAAATGTTTCAACTGACATTTGTATTCTAAGAAAGCACATCACAAATGTTCAAAACGCTGGAACTATTTTGGTACTTTTATGTATTCGTAGGTAACATAATACATGTGTTCTGAAGATCACCCCTTTAGGGTCCTCGACGCGGCTGGTCACCTTATCAAGTTGAAGTGAGATTCTACCATGCCTTCAGTAAATACTGGATTGTGAATAATCAAAGTCATTCAGAGGTATATAATCACGTTATATACCTCTGATTTTCCAATACAGTATGTATTTTTTTTAAATCTTAATAACACGGCTATGGTAGAATGGCGATAAAAATATAATAGATCTAAATTTTGTATTTAAAACCTCACGCTACACGTAGAGTTTTTAATTCAAATTTAGAGCTATTATAATGTCGTTATAAACCTCTAAATTTTCCAACACAGTATGTTTATCTCCTAAATGGACATCTGCACAAGTTAACTTCCTTAATACTAATGTGATATGATGTGAATTTGTGATATGATGTGAATATCATTGTGATCGGGAAATGACAAATAACAGAATAAATAAATAACTGACAAATAACAGAAATAAATTCTTTTTGTCCTTCAACTAATTTAACTAGGAGAGACTACTTTTAGATCATAAGGGTGCCACTAGTTTACCATTGCGTAATCAACAGTCAACAGACCATGAAATGTTGTTTTAAGACTGTAGACGAATTGGGATGTAGGCAAAATGAGATCATGCCGTTAATGGTTGAGTGTACAGCACTGGTTGAGTGTGCAGCAGCTCAACTGACTGTAACCTCATTGATGACAATTGGATACCCATTCAGGCGCGTAGCAAGCCAATGTGCAAGCCCGATAGGTTGCAAAGCTTTTTACTTAGATTGTATTGAGGACGTGCCCAACCGTTTTAGCAACAATCATGCGTAAGCCCGGGCCTTTGTTTTATAATGGTAGCTACGCCTCTGCCGTTAAATAAAAACAAACATAGGGTTGAAACTTGAAGTTATTTATTATGAAAGATTCTATTCGGGTTTTACCATGTTGCGTGATGTGTGTCTGTAACACAACATTAATGCATAAATATAATGTACAGAAACCACTACACAGCTTCCAGATACTCGAGAGGAGTCCCTTTTGCTTTTTGAACTTGGTCCTTCAGACGGGACGTTGGTTTAAGTTTCTTTTATAAATATACGTTTTGCGGGCTGTTGGCGGTGCTGATCTATAGTTTAGCTTGACAAGTTTGGTCCAGGGTCCCGTTCTTCAAAGCGATCGTAACCCTAAAATGATCGTAACTCTCCTCCTTTAACATAGACTTATACTACTGTCGTAGCACTACGATCGCTTTGGGGAACGGGGCCCTGTTACAGAGTACAATATGTGTTTCTGGTCTCGTTTCTCAGAGCGATCGTAGCGATACGACTGTCGTAAGTCTATGTTAAAGTATGGGAGTTACGATCACCTTAGCGCTACGACAGTCGTAAGTCTATGTTAAAGTATGGGAGTTACGATCACCTTAGCGCTACGACAGTCGTAAGTCTATGTTAAAGTATGGGAGTTACGATCACCTTAGCTCTACGACAGTCGTAAGTCTATGTTAAAGTATGGGAGTTACGACCGTCTTAGGTTTACGGTCGCTTTGAAGAACGCGGCCCGGTATCTGTTGGTCTCGTAGCCATTCCACAGGGGCAAGGGGAATCTGGCTTCGTTGTCTACCCAACTTTCACAACGTCATCGTTGACGTCAACGTTGATGGCTCGTTCTTGGCTTTCTGTGGGTGTTCTTTGTACAGCACCACGGGTCCAAGGTTTTGGTGTTTCTACACAGGACTTGACAGCAGCGCAAGAAGAATCCCTTGATGACAGCTTGGGTAGATTCCATCTCAATGACAAGTGTTTGTTAGGAGGTCCTTAACCCAGTCATACTGAAATTTAACAATTGAAATTTTATGTTTCTGGCACAGGTTACAGTAATCTAGAATGTTAAGTACTATTTGCAGATAGTCAATAAATTACCGTAGATCCTGGAATAATATTGTCTTTTTTAAGTCTTCATTTGATATTTCTAGTGAAGAGATAAACCTATCTGAAACCTCTTTGTTATTTTTGACCATTCTGAGTGGTTACACGAGTTTTGGAATGACAGGTCAGGTAAGGCACCTACACACAGGCTGTTTAAAGATTCTTTATCGATAATTAGGTCAAACTGGCGTAAAACTGTCATTTTCTATTCATCATTTATCCGTAGAACCATATCTCAGTTTATTGTCGACCAGATGTCAGCGTAGTGTTTCCTCTAATAAGCACCGGGTCTCTAATACGTGCCGGCCTCTAATAAGTGCCGGGGATAAAGCAACTGTTCAAAACATAGCCGGGTCTCTAAATAATCTACCTGTGTGCGATGTTTACAATGGAGTTTCCAAATAATATACCAATGGAGAATCTATATTTATTTCCGTTGAAACTTTAAGCGACGGGGCTCCAACAAGCGCCAGCTCCGGCCTTTTAAGCGCCGGGTCTGAGAGTTCGCTGACTTAATAAGCGCCCGGGTACTTATTAGAGGAAATACGGTAAGTTTGAATGCGACTCTGTATCATTAGAAATGGAATTAGGCATATTCAGTCGTCCCAAATTCCGATTAAATAACGTACTTGTAAATTATTGAACAATAATGTTCCTGATGATGAGACGTATATTTGCTCAGTGATCACTCAAGTCATATTTATGCTTTAATCTATGGAATGTTGCTTATAAGTCAACTCCTTACTACATGCCGCCTTCTGACCAGACGGAGTTCTTTAGTAGGTTTGTTTCGCAAATGTACCGGCGAATATTCCTCTGTCTCACTATTTCGTACCAGTTTAGTGTATGTTTTTAATATCTGGATGTTCTTCCTTCACCCCTCCTGAGAGGGTATACGTAAGTCCCAAAACTTTCAAAGTAAAATGTAAATTTACCATTTTTGAACTAGTGTCTTTGTTCTTTTAACTACCGGCTAAATTTTCCTACACTCGCCAGCGGCTGAAAGGATGGTGTAAATCCAGCTAGGGTCCATGCAGGTAGCAAAAGTACTGTAAGTCCCCATGGTTCCTAGTATGGTGATCTACCTTCAGTTGTTGGCGATCTATAGCCCGTGTTTTATACTGTATTGTCCTCTTTAATTGAAATGTTTTTGCTTTGCTCTCTAGTTTTATTCATATCTGTGATTCTCTAGTATTTTTACTGTCCATCGTCGACAGGTTTTAATCTTCAAAATGTTGTCTCTTTATATTGTATAAATTGTTTTCGTCACGATATGGCTGAGATATTTCCGATGTGACGTTAAATAATAACTCACTCACTCACTCACTCTTTCTTCACCGACCTATCCGTGAAGATCCGGGTTAGAATTGGTCTTCAGTAACCCATGCTTATCGTAAGAGGCGACTAACGGGATCAGGTAGTCAGGCTCGCTGATTTGGTTGACACATGTCATCGTATCCCAATTGCGTAAATCGATGCTCATGCTGTTGATCACTGGATTGTTTGGTCCAC